TAAGTATCAGAGGTAATATTTGAACCCAGATCCTCCAACTTCAGAGTCAGCACCCTTTTCTTCTTAGAGATTCCACTCTAATTCTGTCATTCACTGATCCCGTCTATGTTCCTTGATCCCCACTACCACTTTCAGTTGTTCCTTCTCCCATTGTCTGTCAGTATCTACCTCTCCTCCTTTAAAGTTCTCTCCATCCTGTCTACATCCTCATATGGCCCTCAGGAAACTCTCTCTCTTCTTAGGCTTCTTCCCCCTAAATCCTGCCCACTTTGAACACTCTAGTCTCCCTCCCAGTTACTCAGCTTCCTCAGCTCACTTCTGCCTCTGTGATCCTATAAATCAAAATTATTCTATGTGAATGTTATTATATTCAAGTTGACTTCTCTTGGAGGCATTAGTATATAGGTGATGGTGAGATGGTCCACTGTAGACAGGAAGAGAGGGAAAAAAAGGCAATGGGAAAACTTTCCTAAGGGTAAGAGTTGTCATTCACTTATTCAACCAATAAATATATTATATGTCTACTGTGTGCAAGGCCTTCTGCTTGGCCCTAGAGTAAGCAGGTCTATCATCTCAACAATGTGGTACTCACTTCAGTTGTTAAGTCAGAAAGCATTTATGAAGCTATTACTATGTACTGGTCACCGTGCCAAGCACTAGGAATACAAATACAAGTGAAAAGAAAGACAACCCCTGTCCTCAGGGAGCTTACAGTCTAATGAGTGAATATAATATATTAAAGGAAACTGACAAGTGGGGTGGGGTATGGAATAAGCAGAAATAGAAAGAAGGGGGCATGATAGAGAAAGTCTGGAGAGTCAGATATGGAGCCTGGAGACACATACAGATCAAAACCTATCCATGCCCTCTCATCTTGTGTGATTCTTGTCTCTATCCTTCCATAAATCCTTGTAGAAGATCTACTCAATATATTTAAGATCCTACTCCAGGTCTCTTAATATTTGGGGGTCACCAACAACACCCTTCGGGCTATTGGTTTTCACTCATTTTTTGCTTCATGATTTGCCTGCCCATCTCCCTTTCTGATCTTAACACATCCTTGATGATGACATTTATGCTTCCTTTTCCAAGGAGGGGAATGGTAGATAACAGGCTATAGTCTACTTCATGAGTCTTTCCATTGCTCTTTGAGTCACCCCAAAATATGATTGTTCTGTGATTGTGCCATCCCATGACTTTAGCCATAAAGCTTCAATGAGAGAATACTGATATTAAAAAGATGAGCTTTGCAAGAAGCTTCATATTGCTCCAAATGAAATCTATCCCAATCTCTTCCTATTTAATTGCAGGACAAGCTTTTTGTCCCTCTGCAGAGCCTGGTAGAAGAAATACATACTGATATATAACTCAATGGACTGTCTGTCCAACTGCACATCGGAATCTGTCACCCATTCAAATTTCCTGTGTTAAATGTCCTATGCCCACATCTTTTGAATGATCACAGTTATCATTGAGGAGGCCCTCTAGTAGTCTAGGTATTCAGATGCTCTCAAGAAGCTTTCCAGTCCAGGAAATTAGCAGAAGAAAAGTTTTCTGAAAGAAGGCTATGGTGTTTTATCTTGTAGAGATGATATTATAGGAAATAATAACAATTGCAATGAAAAGAAGAGTGTCTCACCCTTAACATGGTAAAAGGGATAGAAGTCTATTTTTATGGGAAAGTTTTCATACAATCTTTCCCAGAGGCAAAGTTCCTTCTAACTATATGACTTCAATATTCTACAAAATTCTCTCCCTATTCTGAAAATTCATTTTGAATCAGAAATATATTTTTGAGTGCCTATTTCAAAAGAGTAGAATCCTAGGGTTGGTAGGGACCTCAGAGATCACAAGATCATGAGCCTAGCATTGGAGGGTGCCTCAGAAGCCAACTAGTTCTACCTCCTCATTTTGCAGATGAGGAAATTGAATTTCAGAAAGAGGAATCACCCACTAACAGTTATGTGGTAAGTTAGTGTTAGAGCCAAGATTTAAACCCAATTTTCCTGACTCCCAATCCAACACTGTACATCATAACATGGCTACCTCTCTAGATAGAAGAAACACGGGATAGTGAAAAGAATACTGGATATGGAAGCAAAAGCCCTGGGTTTGAGTCCTGGATTTTCTACTTATTAATTACATGATTTTGAGCAGGTCACTTAACTTACTAAAGCCTCGATTTCTTCATCTGAAAAATGTGAATAATGAATTCTTATACCATCTACCTCAGAGTGTTGTTAGAATCAAATAAGATAACATGTGTTAAGTGTTTTCTCAAACTGCAAGATTCTATATCAACTGTTATTTTGAAGGATAGTGTGCTACAGTGGGAAAAGTCTGAGACTTGTCACCAGGGGACTTGGATCCACATCCTGCCTCTAACACTTACAAGTTGTGTTACCATGGGCAAATCATTTCCACACAATGAACCTGTTTCCTTCTCTGTAAAACAGACATAATCACAGTGATGCTACCCACTTCTGCTATGGAGAGAGTGCTTGGTAAATCTTAAATCACTCTAATCAACTCCCTTCTCTTTACAGAGGAGGCAACTGAGGCCAGGATAGGGGAAGTAACTTTTCCCAAGTCAGACACCAGGTCAGGGGCTGAGCTGGGACTACTGGTTTCTGGATTGCCTAACTAGAGTGTTCCTAATATTGTCTATGCAAGGAGCATGGCAATTTGTTAGCTTTATAGTGGGAATCTTTCCACCCTTCTTCAGCCGCCATCCCCCTCATCACCCTCTTCACATCATTAATCAGGACTGAGGCCTTGGCTTTCCCAGACCCTATTGAAATGTTTGCCTCTCACCCCCACTAGACCTCAAGCTTACCAGTTCTGCCCCCTCATCCTTTCCACCCAAAGCTCCCTACTTCCGTTCCTTAAAGGGTGATATGGAGGAAAGGACACCGTTCCAAGCTTTCTTGTTGGTTTCCTGATTTTCCCTGAAGGGAAAGGTAGCCCTGGGGGAGAAGGACAAAGGAGAGAAGAAGAAGGGAAAAAACAGAAGCGGCTTCCAACAGGGTTGGAGGCCATGACCTAATGAATTCCATAATCATGATGTCAACTGATATGACATCTGCCCACACAAGAACAATTTGTTCCTCAGCCTTCCTCTGAGACCAAGCACTGTTTGGTCCTGATGCACATTCACAGTGTCTGATCAAAGAAAGCACTCCCTTTGACACAACCACCATACTCCCTCACACACATACATACATATCACTACCCACCATCCACACACACTGCCTCTCTGTGGGGTGGGCATTGAAGACATCAAAGTCTCACTCACATTTGGATAAAATTGTATATAAATGTGGGGAGGCTTGAAGCCAACCTCTCCTCTTTCTCCTTTCATAGACTTGCACAATGTCAGAGCTAGACAAGATCTTAGAACACAGAACATCTGAGCTGGAACAACCTTAGAGCATGGGATCTCAGAGCTAGAAAGGACTTTGGACTATAGAATGTTAGAAATAGATGGGAACTTAGAACATAAAAACATGAAATGCCAGAGCTAGTAGGAATCTTAGACCATAGAATGCCAGCATTAGACAGATCATTAGAACGTAGAATATAAAATGTTCATAGCCAGAAGTGACCTCTAAATGGAGAGTAGAGAATGCTAGAACTGGGATAGACAATAGACTATGGAATATGGAATGTCATCACTGACTTTCAATACTTCCTCCATGAAGCTTTTCCTGGGCCTCCAGCGATATGTTCTTTCTCACTCTGAAACCCCATAGCACTTTGTAGATATTTTCCTTATGACTCTTATCTCATCTCCTTGTGTTATAATGTTAATAGTTCACATTTATGCAGTACCTTGAGGTACATAAAACGCTTTCTTCACGACTATCCTGTGAGGTAGGTAGTGCAAGTATTTATTTACAATCTGACTTGCCCACAGTAACATAGCTATTAAGTATGAGAGCAGGGAGCAGAATCTAGATTTTCTGACATTTGACCTCTTTCCACGATCTGTATCTATGTTACTTATGTCTTCTACAAACTGGGTGCTCCCTATGGGCAAGGGCCTTATTATACATATATCTGCATTTCCTTCAGCAAGAAAATATTTAATTATTTGCTGAATGAATGAATGATTCTAATTTTAAATTAAAGATGTTACTTTTGGCAAACCCCTTTCCTCTCTAGGTCACAATTTCTTCCTCTGCAAAGAACGTTGGACATAGATAATCTCTCAAGGCCCTTCTGACTCTATGATTGTTCTAATCCTGGAGTTCTATCAATAACCTTGCATGATCTTAGACAAGTAATTTCCCTTCTCTAGACTTCAGTCTAGAGGGCAGCTAGGTGGCTCAGTGCATAGAGTGCTAGGCCTGGAGTTAGAAAGACCTAAGTTCAACTCCAGCCTCAAACTCTTACTAGCTGTGTGACCCTGGGCAAGTCACTTAACTCTGTTTGCCTCAGTTTCCCCATCTGTCAAATGGGCTAGAGAAGGAAATGGCAAACCACTCCAGTATCTTTGCCAAGAAAATTCCAAATGTGGTCACAAAGAGTCAGAAAAGACTGAACAACAACAACAAAAGACCTCAGTTTCCCAATAATTATACTCACCTTGCTATACCACTTAATGGTTTATATAACATGTTCTCCACAACAACCCTGCGATTTAGGTAGTCCACACATTATTAGGCTCACTTTAAAGAGAAAATGAAATTCAGAAAAGTTCAGTGATTGTCCAGAGTCACACAGCTAAGTGCCAGAGACAGGATCCAAACCTTAGCCTCCAGACCCAGGCACACTGCTCCTTTCCTCTACATGGCTGCCTAGTTGATTTTAAGGACCTTTCCATCACTCCCATGATCCCTATTACTCTGATGTGTGAGTAGTAGATCTAGGCACTGACTCTGAAGTATCCCTGTGAGGATCCTGGAGGATCTCTTGCTGGGCTAACCCTGTCTTTTCCCCAACCCTGTGTTTTCTGTCTCCCTCCCCCCACCCCCCCCCCCCCCCCCCCCCCCCCCCAGTGTGTGGCTGTGACCTGGCCCAATCTGGCTTCTTCTTCAAGAACCGTGAGTATATCTGCACCCAAGACTACCAGCAGCTCTATGGCACCCGCTGCCACAGCTGCCGGGACTTCATCACAGGCGAGGTCATCTCTGCCCTGGGCAGGACCTATCACCCCAAGTGTTTCGTGTGCAGCTTATGTAGGTGAGTAAGCAGGGTGGGGAGGGATGGGGGCAAGCCCTGTGGTGGCCATCAAGGAAAGAAGCTATTTCCATCTTGTCCTTTATCGGTTTCATCCCATTCAGCATCTCAGAGCTGGAAAGGACCTTAGAGGGCATCTAGTTCAATCTTCCTCCGGGTACAAGAGCCCCGCTCAGTTACAGAGATCATCCAGCTTTGGTCCAGAGACTTCCAGTGCAAAGGAATCTACTCCATTGTTGGACATCTAATTGTTAGGAAGTTCATCCTTATATTGGGCTGGTTTCTTGTCTTGGAAGTTCCCCTGCTTTGGGCCTAGTTCAGTTTTCTGAACCCATATCACTAGCCCTCTTTTGGGGTAGTGATGTGTTTGAGGTAGAAAATTAGGAGTAATTCGCATAGTCCAAGAGAAAGAATTTTTTCTGATGACGGAGGACCAGAGGGCCATATTTGAGTAGTAATCTTAGAGAACAATATGGTAGAACAGAAATTATATTGACCTTGGAATTAGAAAGCCTGAGTTTTGAGCCAGACCTGGAGATCTTGGTCACAAACTAGCTGTGTGACTTCAGACAAGTCACAGAATCGAAGAATCTTAGAATCTGGAGGTTCCTCAGAGTTCATCTAGTCCCATTTAGACCTACACAGAAGCCTTCTCTGTAACAATCCCAATTAATGGTCATATATCCTCTGCCTGGAGAACTTACTGCCTTCCACTGTGGCCCATTCCAGTTTTGGATTGTTCTAATTATTTGTAATTTCTCTGACATGTTGAACTTAAATCTAATTCTCTACAGTCCTCTGGGCCCAAGTTCAGAGCAAGTCTAATTCAACTGATCAATAAGCAATTACTATGCACTTACTATGTGCCAGGGACTGTGCTGAGTACTAGGGATACAAAGAAAGTAAAAACAAGGTCTCCTGCATCCAAGAAGCCCACATACTAATGAGGGAGAGAATATGCAAACAGCTATGTACAAAAAAAGATAGTATAAATAGGAGGTAATCCCAGAAGGAACTTGCTGGGGGCAGGAGGGTGCTGGATAGGGAACTCAGAAAGGCTTCTCACAGAACGTGAGATTGCAGCTGAGTCTTAAAACCAGAGAATCCAAAAGGGGAGGTAGGAGGAGACTCTCCAGGAATGGCAGATGGCCAATGAACAAACTCAGGAGATAGAATGTGGTGCACAAAGAGCAGAAAGAAAGTCAGTGTCTCTTGATTGCAGTGTGTGTGTGGAGAACTCTTCCATCTGCCATCCTTCAAACACTTGAAAACAGCTATCATGTTCCCTTGAAGTCCTCTCTTCTCCAGGCTGTAAGTCCCAGTTCCTTCAGCTGATCCCTGTAAGGCATTGACCTCAGGCCCTTTACCATCCCGATTGCCATCCTTTAGACCCACTCATTATCTTTCCTAAAATGTAGTTCAGGGAAATGAACACAATACTCCAAAGAGAGTCTGACCAAGGCAGCCAGACTACCATAATATTCTATTAATTTAGTATAAGAGAGATGATAACTAATGTCATTTTTTGTTGTTGCCATAACCCTGTTGACTCATATTGAGCTTCCAGGTCACTAAAACCTCTAGCTCATTTTCCTCGCTGTTTTCTAGCCATGCCTCCCCCAAAGCTATGCTTGTGCAATAGCTTTTTTGAAGCCAAATGTCATGTTTAGCCCTGTTAAATTCTGTCTTATTGAATTTTGCCAGGCATTCAAGCCTTGACCTCTCTTGGCCCCAATTTTCTCCTCAGTAAAATAAGCAAGTTGAACTGGATAATCTCTATGGCCCCTTCCAAGTCTACCATTCAGTGAGTCTGTAAAGAGGAGTCTGGACTGGGAGAATCCAGAGCTCCCAGGGCAGCCAAATCAAAGGGGCCAGCTAGAAGGTGGGGAAAGAGCTCAGAGCTCCAGGGAGAGCAGCATGAAGCGGGGGAAAACACAAAACACAGGAGGAAGGTGGTGTCAGCAGGGTGAAGAGCTGTCTCATGTAAACTCCTTCCCAAGAGGGCATTTTTTTTTTTATGGTGGAAGACTATTGGCCACAATCAGTCAATCAGTAAACGTTTAGGAAGCATGTCCCACATATACTATACTAAGTGCTGGGGATAAAAATACAAAAATGAGACAGTCTGTCATCAACGTGCTTCTATCCTACTAAGGGGAGACAGCATTTTCATGGGTAAATAAATAGGGAATATATATAAAAAATATTGAGGGAGGGGCACTAACACCTGGTGGAATCAGGAATGGCCTCTTAAGGGAGGTAGCAGTTAGATCTAGCTTTCAAGGGAGTCGGGGTTTCAGAAGGTGAAGGTCAAGAGGAGAGGAGACCACTGCAAGCCTAGAGACTAGCCCATGATAAAGTTTGGAGATGAGAGATAGAAGCCAAAGTCACATACATAGAAATTCTGTACAAGGAGTAATAAGCAAGGCTAGTTTGGTCAAAGAGCACATGAGAGGAATAACATATAATCAGTCTGGAAAGATAGGTTGGAACCAGAGTGTGAAAAGCTTTCGTCACCTAACAGAGGAGTGTGCATTTTAACGTGAAGTCGATGGGGAGCCGCTGAAGTTTCTGCAGATCCCGTGGTATGGTCAGATCTGTGTTTGAGGAAGATTAGCTTGGCAGCTGGTAGAGTGCAGATGGGACAGAGGAAGAACTGGATGCAGAGAGTGCAACTGTAGTAATTCAGAAAAGAAGTGAAGAGGCTATGGACTAGGGTGGTTGTGGTGTAAGTAGAGAAAAAAGGAAAGATTCAGGAAAAACAGAGAAGGTAACACTAATAAGATCTGGCAGCTGATCAGAGGGAGTGTGTGTGAGAGAGTGAAGAGGTGAGGACAGCTCTTAGACCATGAACCTGAACGACTTGGCAGAACAGTAATGCCCTCAGTAGAATTAGGGAAGTAAAGGGGAGGAGTGAAGTTGGGGAAGAGAGAGAATTCTTTTGGACAGTTAAGTTGGAGGTGCCTATGAGACATCCAGGTAAAGATCTTACAGCAGGCATTTGGGGATGCAAGACTAGCTCAGGAGAGAAATGAAGGTCAGATATGAAGATCTGGAAGTCATCTGTCATGACAGCAAAAGAGCTTTCCAAGAGCTGATAGAGTGTAGGGGGTCGGGGAAGACGTGAGGACCCCAGGGCAAAGCCCTAGAGTACACCCGTGCATGGGGGACAGAATATAGATTCTGGATCTGCAAAGGAGATGAAGAAAGATTGGTTGCACAGGTTGGAAGAGAACCACTGTAATGAGATATCATGAAAACCCTGGTAGGAGAGAGTGTCTGCAGTAGCTATAACTCTTCCTCATTCAGCTCTGCTGAGGTAGCTGTGGCTAAGATCGTGATGATTATAGGGAAATTCCACATTAGCCTCTTCCTATGAACCCAGGTTCTTTTGTCCGTTCCTCATTCTGTAAAGTTAGAAATTCAACCTGACAAAAAGGAGACAGGAGACCTATGGGGGCCTCCCCTGAACAGACAAAAGCTAATATTTCCAGGGCAACTCAGCCTGGCCTTCAGCTGTATCTTTGATTACAAAACTAGATGATTGATGCTCAGATGGCTCCAGCCTGACCTGTGCTCCTCAGATAATGGCTGTCTACCTGCTCCTGGTGCTCCTCTTTCCAGACCTTGTGATAACCAGAGCCCTGAGACACAGGCAGTGGGGCTGCAAGCATCCAGCAGCCTCTGACACAAATGAGCCTTTAGGGAAAGGGAAGGGCTCTGGAAATGGCCTGAGTTACTCCGTAGTGGCTTGGTGATAAACCTCATTACACTCACACGAAATATCCACCTACTTCCTAAAGTGGTTGTGAAGTTCAAATGAGATAATCTATGTAAAATGCTTGGCAAGCAAATTGATATAAAATATAATTATAAAAATGTCACTCATCATCATCAGAAGCATCGTATCAGCTGTTCTTACTGCTACCATCATCATTATTTTCCATCAGTAAGCACTTTTTAAGTACCTGCTGTTTGCCAAGCACTTTGCCAAGTGTTAGGAACACAAAGATAATAATTGAAATGGTCCCTTGACCTTAAGGGACTTACATTCTAACTGGGGAGACAATCTATACACATAGATATTTAAAAATAAATACAAAGGAGTGGGGGAAGAGAAAGCCCTAGCAACTGGGAGGAGAGTCAAGATAGGTCTTATGAAGTAGGTGGTATTTTTGCTAATTGTTAAAGGAAATTAAGACTTCATTGAGGTGAGAAAGAAGTACATTTCAGGAACAGGGGATAGCCTGTGATTATTATTATTTTGGTCTAAAGGTATGGCGAAAAGAGAGTAAGTGGAGGCAACGAGAATGGATAGCTTCTAGAATTTGAGAAGAGGAGGAGAGAAATCGGACAATAACCTAACAAGATAGGAAGGTATAGTGAAGGTTTTTTCAAGAATGTGGGAGACTTTGACATGACCTGCTAGGGAAGACAGGAGGAACTGGGAACGAGGGCTCTTGTAGAGGGCTTGACCTTGGTGAGGAGAAGGGCTACCTCATCTTCAGAGACTAGAGAAAAGGAGGAAGGAGGAAGGGATGATGTCAAGGAATTTTGAGATGAAGAGAAGAGGAGAAGAGAGAACTCACAGTGCATGGCCTCTACTAGTAAAATAGGCATCTAGGTGATGCAGGAGATACACCACTGGGCCTGGAGTCAGGAAAACCTCAGATACTTGCTAGCTGTGTGACCTTGGGCAAGTCACTTTACCTTCTGTCTCAATTTCCTCAACTATAAAATGGAATAATAATAGCACCTATTTCCTGTAGTTGTAAGGATCAAATGAAATAATATAAAGCACTAAGCCCAGTACCTGGCACATAGTAAGCACTTAATAAATGCTTGTTTCCATCACAGTAAAGTACAAGGAAGGTGAGGTTATCAATTGAGAAGGTGGCTGAGGGGAGATTTAGGAGGTTTGAGAAGAAAAGATCTGGAACACCTTGGTGAGTGACTTCCTCCAGTTTTGTTCAGTAATACATGAGCAGGAACACAGGAGGCAG